AATTCAGTCAACTGAATGTTTAAAAATGTATCACAAATTATTATTATAATCTCTTTTATTCATTAAACATGAAATTCCGTCAACTGAACATTTAAAAATGTATCACAAATATCATTGACTGGTGCTGATGGTTGATACTGGTTGCTGCCAGCATCCTAGGTATCGACTAAGTATCTTCTTAAAATGTATGATTCATTGTTGTTGTTGTTATTATTATTGTTATTGTTACTATTATTATTACTATTATTATTATTATTATCTTAAGACTATTAAGCACCTAACCTGTCTTGGTTGATTCTTTAAAAAGAAAACCAAGCAAGGCTGCATCATTGCATCCGATTGGGGTTAATCCAGGATTTTAGGGCAGGTGGGAGGATGCTAAATGGAGAGTCATAAAGCTTTAAGAAACTGCAGTGGGAAATACAGTAGATTTTGAATGCCTGGCCAAAAAATCTCTTAATTGTTCTGTGTGTAGTTATTGGGAGTCTATCCTTGTTGGGCATCCCTGCATATCTCTCTTTTGGGGTTTACTCTAAAGTAGGAGTGTCCAACCTTGGCAACTTGAAGCCTGGCGGACTTCAACTCCCAGAATTCCCCAGCCAGCTTTGCTGGCTGGGGATTCTGGGAGTTGAAGTCCGCCAGGCTTCAAGTTGTCACGGTTGGACACCTCTGCTCTAAAGCAAAGGCGTCCAACTGTGGCGACTTGTAGACTTGTAAACTCCCAGAATTCCATTCTGGCTGGGGAATTCTGGGCGTTGAAGTCCACAAATGGGCAGAAAGTGCCACTTTTAGAGACTTCCTATTGGGCCTCCCCGTCCTAAGTCCTCAGCTGTCTCCATGACTGCTTTTGCTGTCCACGTCAGGCCCATCTTTATATAACCGAAGATAAAGTATGGCTTGTTGTTTTCATGGTTCCTTGTTCCTTGAGGGAGCCGAGCTGCTCCTCCCCAGAAGGAAGACCTTCTGGGAGGTCCTGAGAAATCCCCTCCCTGCTGCAGGTGATGGCCTGGCTTTGACCACCTCCGCGCCAAACCGCCTCGCCGTGCCCGTGAGCTTGGCCAACCAGCAGGCCACGGTAGCTGTGGCAGCAGCTACCAGAACGGCCACCTTGGAACAGTTGAAGGAACGGCTGGAGTCCGGAGAGCCGGCGGAGAAGATGGCGCGGATGACGGAGGAAGAACAGCGCTTCGTCCAGCAGGCCTTTCAGAGGAACCTCTTCAGCATGGCCCGACAGCTGCCCATGAAGATTAAGATCAATGGCCGAGGTGAGCCCACGGCGGTCTCCGATCCCCTCCCTCGCTGGCGCCAATCCAGGGTCGGCCCCCAATGGAGTCTCCGCTCCATTTCATCCTAGCAATCCAAAATAGCACTTAGACTTACATACCGCTTCCCGGAGCTTTACAACCCTCTCAAAGTGGGTTTCCAGAGTCAGCCTGTTGCCCCCCAACAATCCGGGTCCTCGTTTTACCCACCTCGGAAGGAGGGAAGGCTGAGTCTACCTCGATCCAGTTAGGATCGAACTGCTGGCTATGGGCAGGGTTAGGCCTGCAATACTGCATTCTAACCACAGAGAGGAGGGGAGGGGAAGGGAAGGGAACAATTGAGGCCCTCATTTCACCCACCTCAGAAGGATGGAAGGCTAAGTCAACCTCGAGCCGGTCAGGATTGAACTCCTGGAGTAAGCAATGAGTTGGAAGGGAAGAGAGCAAGGACAAACTTTTTATAAGTTACAAGTCTCAATTAGTTTTTCTGCTTTTCTCTCTCTCTCTCTCTCTCTCCCTTTCTCTCTCTCTCTCTCCCTTTCTCTCTCTCTCTCTCCCTTTCTCTCTCTCTCTCTCTCTCTCCCTTTCTCTCTCTCTCTCTCTC